CGCTTTTCAGGAAATTTTTTCTCCTAAGCCTTGCCAAACTATAACACCCCTTTTTATCACATTGAGGCATCATCTGTGTAGAAGTTACCTTCCCACCAAAAATCTCCAACATACACAGATAGATAGGCATTTATAATGATCCATCTATTAATCCACGATCAGCATTGCTCTTTTGGAAGTGCAAATGGCAACAGTTTATGTGTGGATTTGTGCTTTGTAATCTGTCTATTACCAATAAGTTTCCTTTACTTTAGAGACTAACATTTTAATAGGAGTTTGAGACAATGTTGACATACAAGTTATTTCAGCCACTAACTTTTTAAAACTACTTAACTTGATCCTCTTTTGTAGTAGTTATACCATAGGACTTTGCATGTAAATTTACTCACAAATCAGGACTTGTCTGGATTACTGTTCCATAAGACGTTACATATAATAACCCAAACTTTCTTTTAAATAAAAGCTAAATGAAAATGATTTCTCTTGTGCTTTATCTTGGAATTTTGTGTGAGGTTGTGACATTGTAGAATATTGTGGTACCAGCTGTTTTGGGAGTACTATCTTTTCTAAGTATACATTAGGGATTTTTTGGCAAGATAAAAATTAATTCTTGCATTTCAACAATCTGAGCCCCATTAATAAAGAGTAGGAATTAGAAGAAGCCTTAAATTTGTTTTGTTTTTTTAAGGAGGTTTTTTCCCCTAAGTATCCTAGTCAGTTTAATCATTGGACTATCCACTTCTTTTGTGCCTTCTCTAGCTTTTACATCACTCTGTAATTACTGTTGGCATGATCATCCTATACATGGTCATATTTTTAACTTTTTTGTTGGATGAAATAGTTCCTTTGACTTAGGGCACAATGAAATGTGAAAATAAAAACCTTCACTCATGAAATTTATGTCATACTACTCAGTAACTTTAGAGTCAATTTCATTTACTATGGTGTCAACAAACTTTTTGAATATTGGAGCCTTCAGTGTTTTTGCCCATTTCCTAGTACACAGTTTGGATAACAATATTTAGATCAGTGTGGATATTTTAACAAAGTGAATTAATTTTTTTCCACTATGTGAGGCAACAGGTTTTACAGCATCAAAGAATGTTTCCTTATCACGAAACTCCAAAATATTTAGCTTCAGGCAGAGATGCACAGTTTACCATTAAAGTATTTCTAAGCTTGACAGAAAATAGTAATATTAAATCACAAGCTTACAACAAGCTATTATACAATATGCTCTAACAGCTTACATCTCTCATAAAAAACTATCAAACATGGAGTCAAAATTTGTCTGGAGATTGGGAGTATCTTGTATTATTCATTTAAACCTCACTTTGTACAAAATGTTTTACTGGCCAACATTAGTATTTCATTGGAGCAAAAATGGCACACACTTGCACAATACAGCAGTAGTGAGGAATTATAAATTAGGAGAGGGTATTTGAGACATCTGGTTCTACAGTAGTTGTGACGTAAATTTCACAGACTGCCAGGAGGTGCATTCAGAGCACAAGTAACCTAGAAAAACAAGGTTGGGGATTCGTTTTAACTAATGATTAAATAAATTTTTTGTTTACCTAGAATGTGCTTATGTTTAAAATCCTACACCAAGGAGTATTGACAGACATGACATATTGTTAAGGATGTCCTCACAGAGATCACTATAATGTTGCCCCTAAGGCAAAAGAGTTTCTTTAACCTACCAAGTGTTTCTAAAGTCACTTCTACTGTACTGACAACTATGTTCAGGAAACAGACAAACAGACTGAAGCTTATGAAACTTGGTTTGTGTATGTTATCATAACACAACAGGGAACCTATTGGTATAAAAGCTATCATCCAAAATCATATTCAAACAGTTCTGAACAAGTCACTGCAATTGTGTTCAACACTATCTTCTCTTTCACAAAGTCAAATTGGTGTACATACAGAATTACACAACATTGTGTCCATCAATTTCCTGAATCCAGTCATCTAAAACATCAAAAGTGACTTTTGAAATACCCAATATATCTGTAGTTATTAAGCCACTTTATGCTTCCCCTAAGACTCAGTGCTATAAATTGGAGGAAATCTTCAGGGCTCACATATTAAATAAACATTAAACATCACCAACCAAAGTTCAAGAAAGATCTCAAAAGAAGGGCTTCAAGTTTGAAAAATGTTTATCATGTAATGGCCTAAGACATCTACTCTTGCACATATAAATGTTTAGTTAAAAAAACATCAAACCATAACTTTGATGTCAACATCAACCATGACATGCAGCATTATGCATGCCACAATGAATAGTGGTTTCAATACATTCTCTCCATTTCTCTGTAGTGGCTCCATAAGTGGAACACAATCAGGATGTAGATTATTCATATATTTTTTTTTTACATTTTTGAATGCCTTTATTTTTTCTTGCAGATTTTTAATGCTGTTGAGATAAGCTTTATTTCATTTTACTAATTCTTGAATTTGAGTCAAAATGGACTGCTTTTGTCCAAGACAATCCTACTCATCTGGCACCATACAAAGAAAGAACAAAGAATTTTTGTGGAAAAAATGTTTCATACTATTTCCCAAAAAAATGGGGGATTGCCTGAAGGGGTCACCTGTTGTAACCACTCACAACACTATACAGTAGTGTTGTCTGTCCATCACTCAATAGACACTAAAATGAGATTACATAAGGGATGCTTAATAATGAAATTTGTACTGTCATGATGTCAGCAAAACATGCATATGCATTGAATTATGAGAAGTATGCACTTTGTAGTCTACAACACAGCATGACATATGAACTTCAAAATCAAGAAATAAAAATATTTGTTACTCTTAATTTTGGTTTTAGTCACTCT